GGGGGTCGTCGAGTACATGGACGCCGCCGGCGCCCTGGACTACGTCAACGCGCATCCTGTGCTGAGTCGCTGCAAGGTGGCGCTCTTCCCATTCTGCGTGGCGGGGCAGGCGATGCTCAAGGCGAACGCACTGCACCCTGAAAAGTTCAAGAACGTCGTCGCCATGGTCGCGACAAACCTGTTCACGCTGAAGAATATGTACCTCGAGAACCCGGCCTTCCACACCTTCTTCATGAGCGGCGGCGGGAGCTTCCAGTACATCAACGAGGAGACATTGGACAGCGCGCTGCGCGCAAAGCACGCGCAGTACATCGCCGCAGGCACGATTCAGGAGGACCCGAACATCGACCTGTGCGTCAAGCAGTTGTGCGCGACGACGTACGCTTCGAAGGTCAAGGTCCCGGTCCTGTATTGCACCCCCCTTGAGGACTTCGTGCCCAACCAGCGCGTCGACGCACCCGAGATCCTCAAGTCATTCCCGAACTGCGAATTCCACGCCATCGGGACCAGCGCGCCCCCGCCCTTCAGGACCTCCACGAACAATCGGTCGCAGGGCTACAACTACTTCCAGAACGAGGGATCGGAGGTCATGCTCGACTTCCTCCACCGGAACGGGCTGTGACGACGGCCTCGCCTCTGCCTCTAGCACCGGCCTTTAAGCAGCTGGTGGGCCTGCGGCGGAGAGCAGCCGCGGCGCCTAGTGCGCCCTCCCACACCTTAGTGCGGCGCCTCAGCGCGGCCTTACGTGTAGTAAGTACCTTAGCTTAGTCAGAGCTGCGCTAGTGCGGCCTTAGTACCTCAGTCGAGCTGCGCCGTACCGACACAATCTTTAAGCCTCCACCAGCGCAGGCCAGCGTGGTATGTATCACCGCAACAAAAGGGCCTGAATCCACCAGTGAACGGGGGGGAGAGAGCTCCTCTCTTCTCCGCGCCCCCCCTCCCCCCCAAGGCGCGCGATACACACAGAAACAGGGGTTTCCGGTCGGCGGCGACGTCGTGGGTCGACCTCTCATAAAGCCGAAATCTCGGGTCCAATCTCTCGCGCGTCTTCTCGCGGCCAATCTCTGGTAGAGATCCCGTCGGCGGCGACGGTCGACCGAGTTGGAGAGCTCGAAAGCCGCGATCGAGCGGGCGGGGAGGAGGCCCTCCGCCAGCTGCAGCGAGGGCGGTGGCGGTGGCGATGATATCAGCCGAAATGCGATGCCACCTCCCGTTCGGGTAACAAGCATGTTGACACACCCGGGAGCTCGTGTCGCGTGCTCGGACGCCTGTCCGCATGCACGCGACCGCGAGTGTGACGACGGAGAAAAATCTGGAATTCTTTTTTCGAAGCCCGGCGGGAAACGGCCGAGAGAGAGGAGGCGCTCAGCACCCGCAACCCCGCCCCCTTTGCATGCCCGGCCGAACGAAGGCTGGCTCGGGGTCCCGGCGCGGGCACGCGTCAACGGCGGCTACTGCTGCGGCGCTCGTGCTGCCGAAAAGGATCGAGGCGGCGGC